CCTTAGTCAATTGACTTTTTTTTTCTTTTTTCTTTTTCTTTTTTTTTTTTTTTTTTTTTTTTTTTTTTTTTTTTTTGAGACAGGGTTTCTCTGTGTAACAGCCTTAGCTGTCCTGGAACTAGCTCTGTAGGCAGGCTGGCCTCAAACTCACAGAGATCCGTCTGCCTCTGCCTCCTGAGGGCTGGGATTAAAGGTGTGTGCCACCACCACCTGGCAATCAATTGACTTTTAAGCAAAAAAGTTTATCCTGACTGTGTCTGACCTAAATCTCCCTTTAATGAGAAGATCCTGGCCGTTCATAAAGTAAGCTGATTTTCTTGCTGGGTTTGAGGAAGCACTGTGTCAGGATTCTGCAGCCATGAAGAGTTCTGCCAACAACAGCACAGTCAAGCCTCCAGATGAGGATGTTAACGGTCAGTATCTTCTGAACCTGACCCACAATGCAGAGAGACAGCATTAATCGATGGTGTATCACTATTTGTTATGTGGAAATAGGAAACCACATGCCACCCTTGCAATAGATGTTTGCCCTTTATGACTCGGTGTTCCTGTTACATTGTTTACATGTGGAGATAATCATGCAAGAATGAGGTACAAGGGGCTTATCATTCTCTGTAGCTAGAACACTTGACCAACTCATGCCCGGTCACCAGATGTGACTCAGCTCATAAGCTCTATGCTTCCAGTAGACTTTCATGTAACCTAAAGGGAGATTTGGTGTCGGGAAATGAGCGTTCCTTTCACTCTGACAGACACGCCTGCCTACTCTGCCATCTTTACACCAGAGTTGTGTAATGTTTAGACTCAGAGTCCTTAACATAAACAATTAGGCAGGACCCCACAGCGATCTGGTTGATTGGGGGGTCATGACTAACATCTCCAGTGTGAGGGTTAAATCCTGATGGAACTAGACCATTTTCCCCAGTTCGTTCTCAGGAAAGGTTTAGTGGTGAGCTTTTGACATACTCTGGCCAAGGGGGCATATTCCTATGAACAACAAAATGCAGTGGGACTCAGGGAAAAGTCCTTATTTCTGGAAAAGCAAACATCAGAGGCTGTGCTCACTCCAGTTCCTGGCTATTTCATACCCAGCCACTGGATGTTTCATCTGGGGAAACCTCAATCATCCGGTTTATAGAAGAATGGCCTCAGAAGAGATCTGGTACCAGAATTGAGCAGGCAGGCAGGGCCCTAGGTCAATGGCATCACTGAGCCAACATTCCTTGTAACTCAAGCCAGCATAACACAGTATTTTCATTCCTTGTAACTCAAGCCAGCATAACACAGTATTTTCTCTCTTTTGAAACCCAAACCTTTTCACCTAACAGGTGCCCACTGAAGTGCAGTGGCCATTGTTTTCATGTTTGAAATGTCTTTTGGATATGCGGCAGTGGCAGGAAGGCAAACCCACAGTCCTTTGCTCGCGGCCCCAGCTCCTGCACCGCAGGCATGCAGTGACATACTGATTTTGCGGGACACTGCATCCGAGCAGCTGAGGACAGTGGGAGGCTACAGCACATGGCCAGCGAGACCGCCTGTTGAGCATTTCTTTCTCAAGTAGCAGGTTTGGAAAAAAAAAAAAAAAGGAATATTCCACTTTCTTACTTTCAAAAGACCCAGTCCTCCTGGAGTGAGGGGGGCGGCTTTTAGTTATTGCCCCTGCAAATATATTGGGTACATTCATGACCAGAATTCTATCTCATTTGGGTCCATGTGAAGGTAGAGACTTTATCTATGTCATGGATCTCCTTCTGTCCTACACTGATATATAAGTCATTGCGTTCAGTCAGGGCTTCCTTGTTGACGAATAGCCCTGCCTTTTGAATTAGAAGGAAAGAGAGGCATGAAAAACTGAATTCCTTGCCTCTGGATCTGTAAGGATTAACTTCAAAAAAGGGAACCCATTTTAGATTTTATTAAAGTACTTTTAATTTTGTTCATTGATTTAGTTATTAGATTTTTCTTTTGAGTATGAGCCCAGATTGGCTTTGCCCAGGTTGGTCTCAATCTCATGCCAATCCCCTGCCTCAGTCTTCCTAATGTAACCCCTGACAATTTTATTTATTTAGTCAATAAATAGTCTTATTGTGTAGCCCAACTGGCCCCAAACTTGTGAGTCCAGATACTTTAAGCAATCGTGTGTGGTGTGTGTATGTGGTTGTGGTTGTGGTTGAGGGTGTTGTTGGAACTCAAATCTAGTCCCCTGCGTGGGTAGGGCAAATGCTCTATCTCTGGTCTAGACCCCTAAGTTACTAGAGAACTTGGGCTTCCTGGGTCTTTAGAAGGATTGGGTAGATAAAGAGAAGAAACCCAGTGCCAAGTTCTCAAGGACCATTGGAGCAGCTGATGTGCCCCGACTGCTCAAACTGGGCTTTCCCTGGAAGCCAGGGATCCAACTCACTGCCCACAGAGGGCACCAGAGAAAGCTGGTGTTTCCTCCTCCACCTTAAACAGCTCCTGGGGTGTCTCTCTGATCTACCCCAAAAAGCACATGGATGAAGAATGGAGAAATGAGGTTCCTAGTGATAGGAACAGGAAGATTCCCCATTGTGGAGCTCCCTACCTGGGATGGGGCTCTCCTTAAGAAAGGAAACCCAGGCTTCAAGTGAAAAAGTTGGGAAGGAGATTTCAAAATAAAACAACCACACAAAAAACCAAGTCAACAAATAATCAAGCAAAACAGCTGCAGAAAGGCCCGATTTTTGACAGTGAGGGACCCCAAAGGATGTACACAGATAAAATACAGCCCACTGCCACCTGCAAAGGCTGTCATAGCAACTAGAACGGATGCGAACATTTTTTTTTTACAGCTCTTTCCTTATTGGTTGAATACAGTTAAGACATATACCCAATCAAGGCTAAACTGGTCCTCAATAAATCTGGTAGTCCTCAGGAGAAGGCTTCTCCTGCCAGGGAGCTTTCGCTTACTTCCCTAACAGCTGCGGGCAGGGATACTCATTCCTGCCTCTGCCACCAGAGCTCTGAGACTCTACTTTTCAGTACCTGCAAGTGACAGGAAACCTGTTCCTGCCACCGCTGTCCTGAGCTGCAAATTTGCTCTCCAAAGGACTGCTCTCAGTTGGCACTCCAAAGCCCCTGAGAAAGCGTTGTAGCCGTAACACTTCGCAGAGCTGTAACACGGTCCTGGGGCTTCCTATTGCTACCTCTGCTATGAAGAGGTCAAACCTGTTCCATCTAAATCTCTTGTGGCCATCTGTTGAGAAGTTGCTGATCCTAAATTGACAACAGTACCTCCTGCTCGTACTGTTTGCTGTCTGTGCACTCTGTTCTTGGAGGAGGTATGGACAATGTCATGGAAAGACCTGAACGGTTTTACAAGTTTTTCTTCTAAGATAGAGAGGAAATAATTGACGGTATGTCACAGCCTGGCTGGGTTGTCAACAGACCACCCAGGAGTTCTGCCCCTTCCATGTATAAATAGAAACAAAAGAACAGTCCATGAGCAATTGTCTTTAAATTATACTAAGGACAAGATCACCCTGGCAAAAACAAAACATTTGCTGTTCATTTAATTTGGTGGAGTGTTTGCTAGGCAGAAGTGGAGACTTTTCTTCCATTAGTTGTTCAAATTGCACTCAGGCACCTGGAATATGATGCTCCAGACAGATGTGCTTCCGCCATCTCCCCGGAAGGCTCTTCAGAAGCCTGAGGTCTGCAGGGGATTTCTGAAACCTCCAGCTCTGGAAACCACAGGCCGCAGTGAACACCTGCATACTTGTTCACCACAGTATCAAGCACAGACTGAGATGAAAGAAATGATCTCAACCAAGAAAGTAGCTATTTCACCCTTCGCGATATAAGAGGGAGTAAGTATTTCTGGAGCAAAGTGTCGATGCTTCTAAATGTGCGCACATCCTCACACCTACGCTCCTAAGGATTGTCGCATTCGCAACTAACCTCTCCTCTCTGTGGCGGAGAGAGAACAGCTAATTGACCAAAGCTAAATACAGCGTGTCAGAGCTCCTGTGCTGTGTAGTGAGACTGCCACATTTCCAGAGGAAGTCTCTGGAAGAGAAGAGCCCCAGCAATGGTCTCAGCCACCTGAAGACCCTTCAACACGGAAGTTCTGGACACTTCCTACTTGGTTGCCACCCCAGAAGCAAGCACAGCAACACCGAAGCACTGGGAAGGCAGAGGCCCCCAACAACACATTTGTGTACAGCATACAACTTAATTTGCTGGTCCCCAGTAGAATAACTGAGCATGGAGAACAGGGGGACTATTCAAGTAAAGGAATATACAGTTTGGGGTCAATCACGCATTTCCCATCCCCCCCCCTCAAAAATTAGTACGGATGATGGATAAAGGACCTGCCGTGTGTACTTATGGGTTTAGCAGTAGGTTTAGAAGTAGCGAATGACATTCTGCTTTGTAAATGAGGCCAAGCATATGGCCTTACAGGTAAGCAGCTGAACAGCACTGCAGCCAGGTCACCTCAAATCTGGGCTCTGCTCATCAAGGCGTGGTACTCGCAGCATCTGTTGATCTGTGCAAAATGTGTTGCATCTGTGCAAAAAATCTTTTGCTCATTCAGCACCTCCCTGCCTCCTGTACTGCTAGCACCACTGCAATCTCTCTGCCGCTCCTCCTCCAGGAGTGGGACAGGCTACTTCCATGGTGAGTTAGGCTGGCTTGTGCTTCTGCGCTCCCCGTGGGGTCCTGTCTTCCCAGCTTAGTTCACATAAAATGACTCGGGTATCCTAGAGCAGTGTAAACCCTGTGCCGCCCACATGCCAGTTTCCAGGGCTCGTTTGCTTGTATTCACATGATGGGGACTTGTATTGGTGCCCAGTGGTACAGCAGTTGCTTGTTGTCTGTGAACACACTGGTACTCATACTGTAGAGTGACAGATTAAAATGTGTCCTCCAGAGTTGCGACTTCAGTGCTTCTTGCCTGCAACACCATTTTCTCTTTGCGTAGAAGGAAGCCAGGCACAGAAATGAATGCTTTAGAACTGGAAGGTTCAATGAAGTTTGAGTTCAGCAAATGGTCTACCTATCAGGAGAAAAAAAAAAAAATCACCGCACTGACGAACACAACCGCATGGCATCTTCACACTTCTGTGTGCGATGCAGTGTGCGTCCATCTCGGCTTGGCGAATGTTAAATGTTAAATCTTCTTATGCTAAAAGAGGCCACTCTTTGTATGTCTGCAGGCTTTCAACGTACCAGCAAACATGTTTGCTTGTTGAGAAAGTACTAGATCTGCCAAAGAAAGAGATTCAGTTGTAGCAAAGACAGACATATAATAACTGCTGTTTTGCAGAGTTCACCAAGCGAATGTTTGACTATCAGTTTTCTGCATAGTTGTTATAGCTCTGACTTGCAAGCGTGCTGCTATGAGAATAGGTAGAAGTGTGTGTGCTTGTGTGATAGTGTCAATATTCACACCTGGCTACTGGCAGATTCCATGCACTCTGCAATGCTATTAAGTCCAGCTTATTAACTGGGACCCCAAATAACTGACAAATTTTGCCATATAATAACCACTTATTAAATATTTGGTGCCTTCATAACTCTCTCCCACTATTCAAACAGGGTCCATTGTCCATGATAACAACTGAAAATGACTAGCATAATGCAAGGGCAATTAAGATTTGTACAGCAACCACGTGCACCTGTTCTGTGAGCTGCATGTCTGTGTGCTTACAGCAGTGTCAAATACACTGGTCAATGGGAAATGATCACAAGAGAATGTAGGTTGAGTGTCAGATCCGACAGGAACCACTTGGGTGGTGGCCCTTCCCCCAGAGGGGCCATGACTGTGGTTTACTGAAAGCAAGCAAGTCTCAGACCAGGCGCTGTTTCATAAACACAAAGGGACTCTCACAGCAAAGTCACTGGTGGTTACAAAGAAGGCAGGTGGCCAAGGCTTGAACCCTTGCCCCCCTCCCCCCGGGGCTCCTGTGTGACTGACTTTAAGTGAACCATGCATCTTCTCTGCTCTTCCTTGGCTTCACTCACAAAAGGGGCCAATAATAAAACCTGATGGGGTTAATATGTAGGAAATGATTAGTGCCTGCTTTAACACCACACACGCTAAGCATGCTAAAAATCGCTGTGACTTTATCTGTGAATCGTTCCTCCCACAAGAGTTTGCGTGAGGAGAGAAGCCCTGTGAATCTTTTTTGAGGATAATTAAAGTTTTCTACAGAGCAAAGAACCCAGAATAAGAAAAAGGAAAGATGAAGACTTGAGCTTCTCTGAACAGTCTTTTCATGGAAAATAGGAACTGGCTTGAGCTTTTGAGAATGAAAGGGAGGTAAAGAGACAGAAAATGAGAAGACCTGATGTTCTAAAAGGAAGGAGGGAGATGGAGAGAGAGAGAGACAGAGACAGAGAGAGGCAGACAGAAAGAGAGGAGAAAGGAGAGAGAGGGGAGGAGAGAATGCACTGTTAAAGAAAGAGAATAAAAGGGTGCAACGAAACTAGTCAGAGAGAAGTAAGAAAAATTATAATCAAGGGGATGAAGGACCCGGCTGTCTCCAGAGTCCTCCAAAAGGGACCCAAAGGGAGGGGCTGTAGTGTTGTGGTTCTCACTACCTGATGCAGTTGGCATTGCCTGAAGTGAGGTGAGGTGCAGGCACTAGGGATAGAACCTAGGGCCTTGCTCCTAGTAGCAACCACTCTTCAATGAACCATAGTCCAGCCCTGAGATTTTTTTTTTTAGAAATGAGAACTCGGAGACTCTATTTCAGCCAGATTCTCTGTCCCAGAAGCTTTGGGTGTGGTTTCCTGTTGCAGTAAGGCCACTTGTTCTGCTCCAAAATGATCACACAGGAATTATGTTTATTTAAATCACTGCTTGGCCCATTAGCTCTAGCTTCTTATTTGCTAACTCTTACATCTTACTTTAACCCATCTCCACTAATCTGTGTGTCACCATGAGGTCGTGGCCTACCAGCAAGGTTGCAGCATGTCTGTCTCTGGCAGCAGCTCCATGGCTTCTCTCTGACTCTGCCTTCTTTCTCCCAGCATTTAGTTTAGTTTCCCCCTCCTAGCTCTGTTCTACCTATCAGGCCAAGCCAGTTTCTTTATTAGCCAATGGTATTCACAGCATACAGAGGGGAATCCCACATCAATGTCCTCCATGGGATTCTGATGTACAAACAAGATCTGAGAACCACTGTCTAGTGCAATGGATACAAAATCCCATGGTTCTGCTTCATTCTTCCCACTTAGACCAATAGCGCCTTGGTAGGGCAGCCTCAGCACGGGCGGTAGAGGTCCACAGCTCAGTCATTTCCTGTAGATGGAAGGAGAAACTCCAGTGGATAAGCAAGAGTGTGAGAACAAGTTCCTCCTCACATCTCGAGGGCCTTGCAAGTACCCCATTCTTGAGTCTGTACTGGTATCTACAGGAGTAGATACCATTATGCCTTTGTTATCCCACAGAGTCAATCTTGGGTAGTGGACCTAGGTGAAGATGTCAAGATGATATCTGGCATATGATGTTGAGTAAGTACCTAATTTTATTTTATTTTATTTAGGAAGTGCTATCATAGGAAATGTTGAAATAATTTAGGTTATTTCAGAACAGAAGAATATAATCCCTAAACTAGTTTAATCCATTTGAGAAATTGACACTGCAGTGATTTTTCTATCATTCCAATTACATCAGCCGCAGTCACTGGCTTTCAGTCTTCATTAGAGTCTGGGCTTCCATGGGTAGCCTAAGGAGGCTGCAGTGTGCTGTTTCCTGCTAAGAGCAAACAAATGGCTCTTTGCTATAAAGTAGAACATTTGAGAACAGCAGAGAGGAAAGTGCCAGCATGTTTGCTAAGTGCCCATGTACATGTTTCGGGAAAGATGGATGATGGAACAGATGAATTGAATTTGCTGACTCTCTTAAATTCCCTTATCGACTTATTTGATAGGTGCTTAAGACTCACAGACATGAGTCTACTGATTCCAAAATAATTTCAGAGGATGTTAAACCTTTTTCCCTTTTGCTCCAACACATGAAGTGCCTCATGTCAGACACAGTTGCTTTTGTTTCATAAGAACATAAGGAAAGGGACTGGTGTGCCAAAGAATTGGGAAGCAATTTCTATTTCCGTCAGTTGTGTAGGTGAAGAAAATTAGTCTATAGTAAATACAAGTAGAAATCACTCTGTCAACTTTCTAGAAGAAATCATCGATATTGCTTATGCTATCTTGCCCAGCAGCTCTTCATTTGCACAGCATGGAAATCTATACACACTGACAGACAAGAAATTAACACAGACGTGTGAAACCAGACTCTAAAAGTCTTCAGCTTCTATTTGCAATATTGCCCAACAGGCAGGAAAGAATGTGAAGCTGTCATTGGTCAGTTATTGAAAATTGTAACTAGCATAAAGTACTGAGACTCAATGGCCAGGGTGTGTTTTTCTATTTAGGATGGGAAAATGAGAAATAAATGGATAGCACCTTTTCTTTTCAATGAGGAAAGATGTATTTAGGTTCACAGTTTGAGAAGTTTCAAGCCTTCTTGGCTCCATTGCCTCAGCTCCATGACAAGATTATCATGGAGGAAGGGTGAGCAGGAAAACTGTTCACCCCATGGCTGATGGAGGGGAAGGAAAGACTGATATGATATACCCTCTAAGTCCTCTAACTAGGCTCCACCTCCTATTAGCATCCATTTAGCTAAGAATTCATTAATGACTGAATCCATTGATGAGATTGACACCTTTATGATCCAATGACCTCACAACAACACCACTTATAGGAGGGCAGTCTGTCAATAAATAAGTCTTTAAGGATATTTTATATCCAAACCATAACATTCTGCCCATGTTTCCTAAAAAGCTGTGTCCACTTCATATTGGAAAAATGCATTGTCTATCCTCATGAGTTCCCCAAGGCTCATCATCATCGCCATTGCTCAAAAATTCAAGTTTAATGTCTCCTAACTCTTAGTTATGAGGCTCTGTTAAATAAAAGGGCAAGTTACATGCTTGTAACACACAAGTATGGCACCACACAGATGGGGCCATTGACTGCTAGCAGCTCAGGGAACAGCATCCCTTGGATCATGGTTATAAAGACCTTAGAATGCCTGGAGTGTAGAATACGGGAAAACACTTTCCTAGAAAACCTTTTGTAAGCAGTGCACCCTGGAGGTCTCTTCTCCAAACAAAGCATTTGAAATGAGTTACAAGGTTTATACCTGGAGTCTGCAATGAATGGTGTCTAGTCAGTTCCTGAGATGATCTCCATGCATTGTTCCTTTGGTTTTAGAGCAAAGTGTCTGTCTCATTTTTAGCCGTAATAATTTCTTCATCTATCATACTTTTCTTAGTCCCAACTTAAAATATATTATTGAGGGTGGATAGCAAATGCAAGTTTTTTCAAATCTTTCCACTCCGTTTTTTTTTTTCCCCTAGAAGAGGGGAAGGAGTTCTGATTATCACTATAAATCCATCTAAAAGCAGCTGAAGTGCCCATACCACACCCTGAATGAGATGCCTTGAAACTTCCTCCCCCAGATTAGTTAATTTACCACGTGTAAACTCAGGACGTCCACAAAATCTCGGGATATGAACAAACTGTAGACATGATTTCTTTTGAGAGTATAAGAGAGTCTTTGCTCCCTCTGGGAAGCTCATGAGTAGTCACCATTGTCCACATGCTTGTCAGTGTTTTGTTCCTCTGAGCTAACAGCAGAGCTGTTTACACAGCCCTGCCCACAACATTCCAGTCCATGTCTCCATTTCCTTTCCTAATTCCCCCCACAAGACTGCCCCTACAGCCCCTCAACGCTCCTGGCAGATACAGTCAGGGCAGCAGCCCCATTTCTCAGTACCAGTTTTCTGCGTTAGTTGCTTTTATCTCCATAACAAAACAAATTAAGGGGGAATGCTTTCCTTTGGATCATATTTTCTATGCCTTAGAACTACTTACAGGTGTAAACAGAGCAGCCTTCAATAGATGCCTGGCACGCCAAGTGCTTCCTTGTGAATGATGCTGCCACTGGGAAGCCACTTACACTCCACAGACATTTGTTGGCTA